ATAACTTCAGGGTGTTTCCCCACCGTACCCACAAAGATGCACATGCTTGCACACACGTTCATCAATTCTGGATCCCTAATGCAAGAAGGTCTGTGGCAGGAGGCCGACCTGGACCGCCTCTGCTCTCTCCAGCAGCCTTGTGGTTCCCAGTTTTGGACACAAGGTGGTGCCACATGCCCATAGTGTCCACTCCACACTTCAAGTGCTTGCAGCTTTGTGAGGGAGGGTGTGCAGGGTTTGCCCCAGCCCACTGCCCAGGGACAGCAGAGACTGGTCAAGGGCAGACAAAGAGAGATGTTCTGAATGTGGGTGGATGAAGGGGATGAGGAGATAAGATTCAGTCAGCTGTGCTACTTTTGTCCACCAGTGTCTTTCCACAGACAGTATAGGCCTGGCTGGCTTGGAGCCTTAGGCCCTACCCCACTGTCCTCCCAAACACACACATGCCTATTTCTTTGTCCATTAAAGGGGTGCCCTCAGCCCTCCTGTACACACCCTTTTCTTGGGGCCTCTCCTTCCTTCTTTAGGGACCCCCCTATCCCCACCCCACTTAGTCACCATGCCTTTCTCCAGAAAAGGCAGATCTTGGAGACCTGTTCATCCAAAACAGAGGATGCCTAGTGGGACGGCTGGGGTGGCCTCAGGGTGATAAAGAGAGAGACCAGGCAAAACTCCCGAGGTCTGGCACCGAGGTGCTGGGTGAAGGCAATGCAGGGATCTCTTTAGAATTTAGTTTGAACAAATGTTTCTGGGGACTGTAGATGATGTCAGTGTGATCGGAGTTGAAGGCTGCATGAGCCTACAGAGACTGAAACAGGAGCAAAGAGGCTTGGACTTGAGAAACCGGAAAGCAGAGACTCCTGGGGCCAGATGGGAAGGTGTTGAAGGCTGCAGGCAGAGAGCTCACAGACAGGCATAAGGGAGCCCTGGCTATCTCGCTCCTGGAGGGCTGCTGCCCTGGTCTTCCCTGGGCCTTCCATACAGCACTAGGCCCAGCCAGGCACTTGTTGAAGGGGTGGAGCTGAAGTTCTGGACATAGCCATATGTTACTTACTGACCCAATCCCCTTCTGGGCCAGGAAGGGAGTAGGACCCTTTAACAGCAGGCCTGAGTACTGGGGACAGCTGGCCTTATCTGTTAAAGAAGAAACACTGAAGGCTCTGTGACTGAATCTCTGATCCACAGTCTTAGCCCCAACTGGACCCCAAAGCTATAATTAAAGGTTCAAGCGGAAGGATTATTACTGAGGAGGGACAGAGCCCCCCACAGCCCAAGGCTGGCATCAGGAACCAAGAGTCACTGGAGATAACATTCAAGACACCCTTCCTCCCTGGGCCTCCCAGGACTTGGCACCTTCCTGGGAGACCAGCTCACAGGAAGAAAGGCTGGCCTGGGCCCTGAAAGGTGGGCGGGAGGCCAGAAATGAGCCTTATATTTAGAAAAGTGAAGTTTCCAGGGAAGAATAACAGTAAATCAAGTTCTCTGGGGAATGTACTCATATCCCCAGTTGACTGTTTTTACACAAGTTGTCTGGGGTGTGATCAACCTTAGAGACGACAGTGAACACAGATGAGCATGGGGCTTCAGGACAGATACAGGCAGGTATTTTGTTGCTTCTTAGCTCCTGGCTTATACCACCGACCTGGTCTGAAGACAAGCACTCTGGGCTGTGGCTACATCACTGCCAACTGGTCTCTGAGGCCAGGCTGGGGGTGGAGTGTGCTATGCAGTTTTGCCATGTTTGACTCAAGTCTACTTCCCTCAAACCTAACCTAGTGCCTGGTATGAAATGGAAAGTCCACCTACTCACCCACTCCATCTGTCCCATCATTTTCATCCATTGATCAGGCCATCCACTTAGGTATATGTTCCTCCCTCCCTTTCCAATACCCAACACTAAAAACTTGCTAAATCAGATGCTGCTCTTGGCCCTAAAGATTAGATGTGAACATGAGTTCTTGCCCTCATGGGCTTATATTTCAGCTACAAAAGCAATCAACAAATATCAATGTCATTTGAACATTGCAATCTAAAATTAAATAAAAACATGAGGGAGAGGCTATCCAAGTAGATACCCATAGGGGTGGGAGTATGGTGTGTCTATGGCAAAGAAGGAGGTCAGGGTAGGAGTGTAGGGGAGCTGGTGAGGGGCAGGCTGGTCAGTTAAAGGGCCAGCTTCCCACACAGGCAGACATGGAGAGATTACTCATCTGTTGGAAGCCATAATGTGGAGGAAGCAAGTGGAGCCTACAGAGTCAATGCAGTGACAAGACTGGGTTTTTCTTTGAGCTTTGTCCTGGCAGCTTGTGGAACAGACGTGAAGTACCCCATTCTTTCAGAGTCAGATTGGGAGAGGGTGGTGAGTCACTCCGATGGGGCGTGATAATCTTGAGGGACTGGGTGTAGTATTAGTGTGAGAGGGAAAGGCAGGCTGTGGCTCAGACATTTGGTCTGAGAGGGAGGGAAAGGCGGGCAAGCCACAGGGCATCAGAGACTCACCACAAGTGGAGGCGAAGGGTAGCATTGAAACACCCTAAATATCATAACAAGGGAGCTGTGGGTATTCAAGTTGAGAGAGACCATGGAGGTGGACAGAGAAGAGGTCAGGTGGGGTTGGGAGGAAAAGGCTCAGCAGTCAAGAGAATGGCTGGAGAAGACATGGACACTAAATCTAGCATCGGGAGGGGGGGGTCTGGGTGCACAGACTGCCCAAGGAGAGAGAGTCCCACTGCTCTGACGGAGTACGAAGACTGGGAGAGGGCAGTGGGTCCATTTCTTGCTGCATTCTCTGAAAGTTCTCAAGGAAGGTGAGATTTTCAGAGAGGAGCGGCTCAGCTCCTCAGACAGCAGCAAAGTTCTCCAGACAGTAGCAAAGTTCTCCAACAGTGATGGGAAGACAAGTAACTCATCTGCAGGAGAGGGCAGCTGGGCTGGGTGGAGCAGCATCTAGGCCAGCCAGATAGTACTGTCTAGGCACCTTTGGCCCTTGAGGTGGGTCTTGATACAAGGGACACTTAAGGATATACCAGGTCTGTGGCACTTGCAGGAGCAGAGTCTGTGATAGAGTATCCCCAGCAACCATGTTGCTGGGCTTGACCAAGTACTGGGTTGATGGAGCTGAGCTCTTTACACTTCCTGTTCCTCCAGGGAAGAAAGGACATGGGCTGGAGTTCAGGCTTTGCATGTGGGAACCCTGAGTTCCACCCTTGACTGCATGTGCTCCCAGCCCTGCTAAATAGTCCCCTGAGCAACACTTGGTGTGGCCCCAAAACACAGAAAAGAAACGAAGGTGAATGTTCATGGCTCCATCCAGAGATCTATAACCCAGGTACCTTTTTATTTTTGGGGTCATAACTGGCAGCACTTGAGTCTAGTGCTAGTGCAGTGCGGAGGTTCATGCAGTGCCAGGCATGAACCTGCAGGTCCTGCATGCAAAGCAGCTGCTTCAGCTCTATGAGCCTTAAGGTTTATCCTTCACTCATCACTCTTCCCCTCGCATGCTTGTACTTGACTCCTGGTCCTGCTCTTCTGTATAGTTCTTTTCACAAAATGAAAGTCCTCCCCAGAGAGGGCGAAGACTCACCTCCCACCAGGCAGGTCATAGTCCTGTGTCAGAGAGGGCAGTGAAAAGACTGCTGTTGTACTGGCTCTCCCCCCATTCCAAACACCCATCCTTCTGCCAAGCAAGCCCTGTGACAGGAACCAGCTGCCTCCCACATCATAAAAACCTCACTTTCCAGAGGATCCACAGAACTCAGCTAGAACTCATCCAACCACCATGCTGAGGTTGTCCCTCCACATCCCAGGCCTAGGATGGCTCCAATAGCACGTCTCTCTCTGCTAAGCCAGCAGAGCACTCATTTTTCCTGTAGCAAGTGATCTCCAAGGCAGCAGGAGGGCCTGATTGGGAGAGGAGTAGACAATCCTGAGTCATTCTCAAGAAGAGGTGGGTTTCATGTCAGAACGCAGAAAGCCAGGCTCGTTTAAAGGGATGAAATTTCTTTTAGTTCTGCTGGCTCAGTCCTACCACTGCTGGTGTCCACTCCAGAAGAACTTGTACAGAACACCTGCAAGCCAGGTTTCCAAAGTCTCGAGCAGGCAGGAGGCTTGCTCGTAAATGGTGAGGGCTAACGACTGAGTTCAGAGGACTCTCATGTATATTCCAGCTTTATGTTCAAGGGAGAAGAGTTGGCTCTTGAAGAGTCAATAAAAACAGTTGAGAATTCACACCCAAGTTAACCCTCAAGTATCTGACTTCAACATAAACCACTCAAAATCTGGAAAACCATCTGTAAGATAACACAGCTACAAGTAGCACAGATCTCAATGCAGCGTCATGTCCTGTTCTAGGCCAACAGGGTTCATTAAGCACTGGGGCTCATGTAAAAAGCAAAGACTGATCTCAAACCAGACTGAGTCAGCCTTAGGAAACTGGATGACTGCTAGAAGTAGCACAGATCTCAATGCAGCGTAATGTCCTGTTCTAGGCCAACAGGGTTCATTAAACACCGGGAATCATGTCAAAAGCAAGGACTGGTCTCAAACAGGACTGAGTCAGCCTTAGGAAACTGGATGACTGGGCAAAAAGTTCTGAGAAGAAAACTGAAGTTTAGTTTCCATTCCCGTCCCCCGGCTTTTTGGATCACACCTGGCAGTGCTCAGGGATTACTCCTGGCTCTACACTCAGGAATTACTCCTGGTAGTGCTTGGGGGACCATATGGGATGCCAGGGATTGAACCCGGGCTGGCCATGTGCAAGGCAAGTGTTCTACATGCTGTATTATCATTTTGGCCCCTAATTTCCAAATTTCTTGAAGCATGTCTCTGGGAGTCCGTGTGTGTGAGTGTGTGAGTGTGTGTGTGTGTGTGTGTGCGCGCGCGCGCGTGCTTCCTTAAAGAAGCGGGAGACAAGTGGCCAGTCAATCTCTCATGCTTTTTATCTCTTTGGGTCTGACTGACATGGAAGCTAAGTCTAAGGAAACAGAAACAAAAAACCAAAGAAAGGAGAAAGCAAAGATGTTTATTACACGAACATTCTGAAGCCAAACTGGAAAAGATGTTCATGAGGTGTATCTGTCAGAGACAACCTTGGAGACAACCTTCTTCGCATACTGTGGGGTCTTTCTTGAGGCATCCTCACCCTTGCCTGCCGTATCACCTGAGACCCGGTGGATCCTTTCCATCAGGTCTCCACGCTACAGAGACACCCATGAAGGAAGGTCCCCCTTTGGCCAGGCTCCCTAGCTTTTACAGCAAGGACAGTCACTACTCTAAACAGAATCCCAACCCTCACCCTTGATGTAAAGCACATCTTCTCAACAGCGAGGTTCCTCAGTCATGAAACGCCCATAGACAGGTATGGGGAAGGGTACTAGGTGAGGATGTCATGGGCCTGGTGCTCCACCAGCATCTCCATGCTCTTCACATCGGTGCACCAGAACTCCAGGCGGTCCTTCATCCCCTTGATCTGAGTGCAAACCAGGATGACACAAGCGTTAAGACTTCTGGGAATTCATTCTCACTTCCAGCTTTCTTTTTTTTTCTTTCTGGGTCACATCCAGCTATGCACAGGGGTTACTCCTGGCTCATGCACTCAGGAATTACTCCTTGCAGTGCTCGGGAGACCATATGGGATGCTGGGAATCAAACCCGGGTTGGCCTTGTGCAAGGCAAATGCCTTACCCACTATGATGTCACTCTAGCCCCACCAGCTAATCTTTAATAATAAGAGCTGAGAGTGGGATGTGTGAAATAGGATTATCCCAGTCAATTCTTATCACAAGGACATTTAAAAAAGAGAAAATAGGCAATAGAGGAAATCCACAGGATTAAATTTCCAACAAATATCAACGAGATGGATTTGAGCTCAAATCCTAGGACCAGGAACATATTTGATCAGAGTACCAATTTTAGGATTAAAAGGCATCATCAGCACAACCAGCATTGTTGTCATAAGCTTTTAAATGCAGGGTTCAAATCCTAGGCTTGCATTAAATTAGGTTCTCTGAAAAACTTAGTTCCTACAGTAGTAATTAATCTCTGAAATCTCTCAATTACTAATGCTTTCTTCCTAAATGGCCTCCCTCCAAATAAAATAAGGCATCATAGAGACAACCAAAAGCACCTCTAAAGGTGACCCATGGAGTTCAATCCTATCATTTACCTGTTGCAGATCCAATACTCGAGGCTGCACCCAGGTCATGTGAACTCGCTTATCCACTTCATCAATACTGCCTTTCACCAGTCCCACTGATAGCGCCTTCATCACCAGCAACTCCACCTGTGCAGAGAGGGGCTGTTGTAAGCTGCTGTTTCTTTTGTGGTACTAGAATTGAGGGAGCAGCTCACACAGGATCCTGGTCCCTCTGTGCAGCAGTTCTACTGCTGCAATATCCCAAGTCCGAGAATTGTACCTCATTTACAGTGATTTTAGCACTTTTGGCAATTTCTTCAAAGGTGAGCTGTCTGTGGTTGGCAGGTCGTGTGAAAGTCATCTGAAAAAATTATATTAATTATATTTCCAAATAAAAAGTGGTGAGACAACTGATATGCTTTTGTTAATATTTGTTCAGAAATTACAGATCTTGTTAATACCCCATTAACTTAAGTTTTAATATCAAGTCCTACTTCATATGTGGAACAAACTTTTTATGCTTAGGTAATGTGAAATGATAAAGGTAAGGTAAAGGCCCTCCCGTTGATCGTCGATTTGCTCGAGCGGGCCCAGTGACGTCTCCATTGGAGACTTTGTTGTTACTGTGTTTGGCATATCGAATACTCTCGGTAGCTTGCCAGGCTCTCCGAGAGGGGCGGAGGAATCGAACTCAGGTCGGCCACGTTGGCTGCTTGTAAGGCGAATGCCCTACCCACTGTGCTATCGCTCCATATTAATCATCAATTTCCTTAAAAATGTCCTTTTATCTGACATGTGTCAATTCTACAATCCACAGAAACTTGAGACCTATTTGTTCAAGAAGTCTAAAACAAAATTCTACCAGAAAGACAATGTGAGAGCAAAGAATGACTGAGGGCAACGGAAATGAAGTTTGAAGTCCACTCAGATGATCAATTCATTCCTCTGAGGAGACATCAATCAAAGCTGAGATTCCAAACACAAGATTTAAACTAATGGCAGGGAAAATGGAAGATGGAGAGTAGGTACAGAGCAGCATTACAGTCGGAAGTGCACTCAGCAGCACCTGGAGTCATCAGGAACCAGGGGCACCCCTGCACACACAGGGCCTTAGGTCACAATGTGTTTTCAGGATGCTTGCTTACCTCCATGAGGCACAGTAATTGAATTTTCCTCAGAAGCTGGTTTTCATTGGCTGCTAAATCAGGCTATAAAACAAAAAGAGGCCTGTTACCTAACTTGGCCTTTAAAAGCAGATTGCACAAAAATAAAACGGGGGATAGGGATGTGGCCCAGTAGGAGAGCACATGCCTTGCATGTGTGAGGTCCTGAGTTCAATTCCTAGCACTGCAGAGCTCCCTGAATACCACCGTTTGTTTTAGTTGGCTCCCAAACATTGCATGGACCTCTGCAGTGAAACATCAGGCATATACTGCTGAGCTGGGCACAGACAGGGTTGGCCTACTGTAAGACCCTTGTCAAAGGGGCAGACACACAGAATGTAGACATTTCAAAAAGATTCTTGACATGAGAAAGCATAGAATAGGCACAGCTCCACCACTGACATTATGCTTTTGAGCACTACTGGGACCACTATTCAGAAAATGAAAGAGAGGGTCAGAGCAATAGTATAGCAGGATAGTGCATTTGCCTCGATGCAGCTCACCCAAGTTTGATCACTTGCACCCCATATGGTCCCCTGAGCCCAATCTCTGAATGTAGAGCCAGGAGTAAGCCCCAAGCATCTCCGAGGATGGCCCCCAAACAAAACAAAACCAAAAAAACCATAAAAACAAAACAAAAAAAATCCCAAAAAAAATAAAAAGAAAAAAGGGGCTGAAGAGACTGGGCACTTGTCTAGTACATAATCAATCTAGGTCCTTACCTCAGTACCACAGATGGACTCCAGTGCCCTGCCAGAAGTGATCCCTGAAGGCAAAGCCAGGACTAAGGCCTCAGCACTCATGAGTATATAGCCCCCACCTCCAAAAAAATATTTTAAATGAAAAAGAAAATAGGCCGTCCAATCCAAACATCTTCTACTGTTGATCACTAAAGTTCATTATTAGCTTTTTTTTTTCTTTTTGGGTCAACCCAGTGATTCACAGGGGTTACTCCTGGCTCTGCACTTAGGAATTACTCCTGGCTGTGCTGTGGGACCATACAGGATGCTGGGAATCGAACCCAAGTTGGCCACGTGCAAGGCAAATGGCCTACCCGCTGTGCTATCGCTCTAGTCCCCAAGCTTCAAGTCACTTTCACTTCACCTTTCTTAAGACTCATCAACAGACTGCCTACTGTAAGACCCTTGTCCAAGGGGCAGACACATAGAATGTAAGGTAAAAGGTAAAGGTAAAGGCCCTCCCGTTGATCGTCGATTTGCTCGAGCGGGCCCAGTAACGTCTCCATTGGAGACTTTGTTGTTACTGTGTCTGGCATATCGAATACTCTCGGTAGCTTGCCGGTCTCTCCGAGAAGGGCGGAGGAATCGAACTCGGGTCGGCCATGTTGGCCGCGTGTAAGGCGAACGCCCTACCCGCTGTGCTATCGCTCCAGCCCATAGAATGTAGTCATTTCAAAAAGATTCTTGAGAAAGCATAGAATAGGCACAACTCCACCACTGACATTATGCCAAGCAGGTATGGGAGCAATGCCTGCTCAGTTCAGTCAAGTGGGCATCTGAAAGTTCCAAAGACTTGTTCTGAATAGAAAGAGCAGCTTATTAACTTACAATAATAATAATGTTATGAAACCAAAATAACCCTCTGTTTGACCTGTATATAATCTTTCAGTGAGCAGGTAGATCAAGATGTTAATTTGCTCAGCATAGAACAAAGAAGAGTAGATTTCTTGATTCAAACATTTAGTAACAAACACCTCTACACAGCCCTGAAGGGAACATTTTCTGCCAAAGGTACTAAACATGTCAGTCTTAAAAAAGGCTCACTACCCTGAGAAGCTCCTGCTGCTTGGAAAAACAGAGATGACAAGATGGCAAGAACTCCTTCAAGTTCTTTATGTTTCCAGAGCTGGCCATTTCTCTAACGGCCCATTTTCTCCCAATCTGCAACATCAGAACATAGATTAGGCTGGCTAGATCTACTTTATAACTCTTCTTTCCAGTTCCTTCTTCAAGTCTTTTTATGTGTTAATTCTATGAGTTTATTCTGAATTCTGAGAAAAAACTAGACTTGCTCTCTTGGCTAACTTCTGTTCTTTGTATGACTCCTAAGGTCATACAAAATGCACAATTTCTTTTAAGCAGCCTTTTGGGTAAGCCCTTCTGCCCAGCTCCGACAATGCTCTGACACCCTACTCTGCATCTGTAGCAGTGAGCACTACTATGGTAACTGCTTTATTAACTAACCAGCCCCTTTACTAGCTACTCTGTGAAAACAAGACTGCCTCTCTTTCCCCCTTTGGGTTAGTATCTGAGCTTGGGGTTGTAGTTAGGTGTGATAGGGGAATACTCAAATCTCCCCCACTCTAACCTGCTGTCCCCAGGCAGTCTTCAGAGTCTGGAACCTCTCAACGTTGCCACTATTGAAGGCGTAAAGTGTGTCAATCAGCCACTGGCGGTCTGTGCCCCTCAGCGACTCCAGTACAGGATGCATTAGCTGCAAGGATGGAAATGGTCAGCGGATAAAATATCAGTTTCCCCTTGTCAGCAATCTGTGCCCAGGGTACACTTACGAGTTCTCCAAAGTTAAAAACGCCCTCGCCAAGAAGTCCTGCTAGTCCCAGCGTGAAAGCTCTCTCCTGTTGCTCAGACACTACAGCAATAATACACTTCCAGTTACATTCCAGTCATGAGAATCAGTCCTTCTGGTTTTAAACATTTCACATAGAAAAGTAAAGAGGGCCGAGAGACAGTATGGGGAGGAGGAAGAGGTTAAGGTGTTTGCCTTGCATGTGGTTGATCCCATATCGGTCCCCTTAGCATCACCAGGAATGGCCATCAACCAGAGCTGGGAGAAGCCCCTGAGCACTAAAAGGTGTGGCCCAACACCCCTACCTCAAAGTAAGTATTCTCTGTAATAGCTATGTTACAACGACAGAAAGCAAAAAAAAGTTTTGGGAAATGCTCCCAAAGTTAATGTGGTCTATATGGACGCAGTCAGTGCTTAACCTCCTGCATGACACAGTGTCCTAAGCATGTTGAAAACTGAAAACAACCCCAAGCACTGCTGGGTGAGGCCAAAAAATGAAAGTGAGAGAGAGAGAGAGAGAGGATTAATATGTTTGACTAGCAACTGAATGTATGGATTTTGCTGGAAATCTACCCATCAACGCATCCACACCCATTCACTGCTTAATTTTTAGGCCATATCTAGTGGTGTTTGGAGGTCAAATCTAGGGCACCTGTAAGCTACACATATGCTCCACTCCTTGTGTCCTCTCCCTGGTAAAGTAAAGTAAAAGTAAAGGCCCTCCCGTTGATCATAGATTTGCTCGAGCGGGTCCAGTAACGTCTCCATTGGAGACTTTGTTGTTACTGTGTCTGGCATATGGAATACTCTCGGTAGCTTGCTGGGCTCTCCGAGAGGGGCGGAGGAATCGAACTCGGGTCGCCCATGTTGGCTGCGTGCAAGGCAGACGCCCTACCTGCTGTGCTATCGCTCCCTGGTATTGAACATTTCAATTTTTTGGGTCATACCCTGCAAATAATCAGAGGTTACTCCTGGCTCTGCACTCAGGAATCATTCCTGGCTGGCTCAAGGGAGCATATGGGGTGCCGGGGATCAAATCAGAAAAGCAAATACCTCATCTACTGTACTATCTCTCCAGAAATGGCTCCATATAGTAGTCTATGAGGATCATCTAAAGTAGAGGTTCTCACACTTAGATGGCCTACCGTCCTTCACAGGAAAAAAAGAAATCACTAGTTCCCCATCTGGAAATCTACCCTTTCAAAGCAAACAAAAGGAGCCCCTCAATTGCATCCAAAGCTACTACCACCTGCCTGAATCATTCCAGATCCTCCACCCTGGGTATCTCTTTGGGAAACACTGAAACAGGTTCAAGTCTGCTAAAAAAAATTTTTTTTTGGTCTTTGGGCCACATCCAGTGATGTTCAGTGGTTACTCCTAACTCTGCACTCAGGAATTACTCCTGGCACGGTTCGGGGGACCTTATGGGATGCCAGGAATCCAACCTGGGTTGGTGGCCGTGTGCAAGGCAAGTGCTCTATCCACGCTTCATGTTATCACTTTAGCCCCAGTCTGCAAAAAACTTTTAACTAAATTCTTATTCCTTTTGCCCCATACCCACCACACACGCATCTAGTATGAATCTCTTTTCTTTCCACTCTCAAAAGCCTCGAGGAATTTTTGCAATTTATTTCCAGAGTTAACATTTGTTTTCAAGACAAGAGACTCAAGTAAGGGTTTTCACTGTTCCCTTTATTCTGCAAGGAGTAAAGATATTTAATAATGATACAATTTTTAAAAACTTCTGATTTAGAAACCAATTCCTTAAACTGTAGCTTGTAAACCCAGAGGGGATCGTAAAAAACTTAAAAATTTTATTCTTGAATTTTATGACTTGTCATCAAGTAAATGTTTGACTTGTATATCTAGATTATAACCCTGTATAACCTAGGGTTTCCTAATTATTTCTCAGTCAAAAAAACGCAGTTTAAGGCTGCTCTTGGATAACAGTTAAGTCATGGAGAAGAACAGTAAAAGGGCTAAGAAGTCAGCCTCATTTTATTCTAATTAAATCCTGAAGACCAATATAACACAGAAAAAACTTTAACAACCTTTCGCACCCTCTTACCACATGGGCTTTCTTCAGAAAGGATGACTACATTTGAGTAGCTCCTGAGACCTGCTGCCTCTTGCACCTCATAGATGAGCTGAGGAGGAATCTCCCCCTGAAACAGAAACTTTAATACCTCTTTACCTGGAAGATCCTTGATGTCGACACAACCCAGAAATCGCAGAGCATCTTTATAGTAGGATGCATGGTTCCCAATGGTCTGATAGTATTTGCTAGAAAGATCATAAAAACGACTGTGCACCGATGTCACACCAGGCAGATTGCTCAGCATTTCCTCAACATCTTCAATTGTTTCCTATACGCAGGAAACAAAGTTTCCTTTCTTTGAATCAGAACATTTTGAAAAGTAGTATGACAAGACAAAAAACACTAGACCTTTGGGTAAAAGACTCACCGAAAATGCAATTACAGTTCATCCAAAACACAAAAAAACACAAGCTACAGAGTGGGGAAAAAACAGTCCCCATTAAGGGACTATGAACAACTATAAAAAGGACTCGCACAAACGAACATAGAGAAAAGGGCAAAGAAACATTAATAATAAATAGAAATGGAGACAATAATGGAGAGGTCAGTAATGGCCAGTCATCAAGAATAAAATCCTTAATCATATTAATATTCATTTTCTTAATTTTTAAAATTTTTTTGTTTTTGGGCCCCATCTCGAGGTGCTCAAGGGTTACTCCTAGGTCTGCAGTCAGAAATATACTCCTGGTGGTGCTCAGAGGACCATGTGGGATTTCAGGGATCAAAGCTAAGTTGGCCGCAAGCACAGCAAGCACCCTACCCACTGTACTATTGCTCTAGCCCCAACTTTATGTAATTTTTAAAGAGGGCTTGGATGGTGCTGTGGGGAGCTTATGCCACTTTCGAAAAATATCTTGCAATGTCTAGAAAAGGAGACCATAACTTCAAATGCACATCCTGCTGAGATTCTGCCCATTTACACAGGGATTTCAGGCATAGAAATGCTGGTAAACATCATTGTTTGTAATTTAAAAATGAAAAACAAAAACAACCCAAATCCCTTTTTATAGGCGACCAGAGACTACAATCTCTAAAATATTTGTACACTGAAATCACATGTAACAGTAAAAATTAAGCGGCTTGGGCCAAGGAAATGGTTCAAAGGACTGGAGCACTGCCTTTGTACGCGTGGGTCCTGGGTTTAATCCATGGTATCACATGGTTCCCTGTGCACTACCAGAAAACACTAAGCTGGGAACAGCCTGAGTATTGCCAGGTGTGGCCCCCAAGAAAAAACCTGGGTATATGTGTGAACATGTGGATTCACATAGTATTAAGCCCATCAGTTAAAACAATACCGTAAGTCAATGATAGTTACATATATCCGCATCAAGTAAAGCATAAAGAAATACATGAGCAACACCAAACATGGGGGCGGGGAGAGCACTGTTGGAGAAGGACTGGTCTAAAGGAATGCACAGTTCCAACTCTGCTGCATTCCTTTGCTCCTATGCTGGTTGCAGAGGGTAGGTACTATCACAACATTTTTCAGTTAGTTACTATGAATGTCTCAAACATGTCTAACAAAACACAGTTCAACATACATATGGGATAGAACTGGAATGCAGTAAGAAACAATAGAGGGCCAGAAGAGATAAGAGGAATCAAGGCATTTGGCTTGCTCATAGCCAATCCTGGTTTGATTCCTGGCACCACACAGTCACTGGAGGGGTGCCAGAAGCAACCCATGAGCACAGAGCTGGGAATGACCCCTATGCACCAATGTGTATATGCCCCCCTTGGTCCCGAAGAAACAATAAGAAGTATTTTTTGAGGGGCTAGTATGGGGCTCAAGTAGAAGAGCACGTCAGGCCTTGGTATCTCATGTCTCATGGCACCCCACCCCCCCCGCCCCACCACACACATCCACACCGAAGTATCTTTTGGGCCAAAGTTTGTTTTAGAACAAGAAAACTTGCCCCCAATATTTTCTTGAGTGTGCTGGTTACCAAACCAGATCTTTTAAAAATAAGCATCTGAGGAGCAGGCTGGAGCGATAGCACAGCGGTAGGGCATTTGCCTTGCACACAGCCAACATGGCCGACCCGAGTTCGATTCCTCCGCCCCTCTCGGAGAGCCCGGCAAGCTACCGAGAGTATCTCGCCCGCATGGCAGAGCCTGGCAAGCTCCCCGTGATGTATTCGATATGCCAAACACAGTAACAACAAAGTCTCCAATGGAGACGTTACTGGGCCCGCTCGAGCAAATCGACGAACAACGGGAGGGCCATCTGAGGAGCTAAAGAGATAGAATGAGGGTGATTCCTGGGCACAAATGGATGAGAAAGCCCTGAGCACTGCTGGATATAGCCCTAAAAATGCTGAATTTTATTAAATGTGAATGGATCATGTAAGTGGTATCTATATCTGTTTCTAAAATTACACTAGAACAAAAATATGCACAGTAAAAAGAGTAAGATCCTTCCACAGTAATCAGTAGGTAGAAAGAGGAAGGATGAGCATTACATTACATGACCTTGGTCAGTGGTGAGTAGGATGGCTGGGCAGCAAGACCCTCAACAGATATAGACTAGCTGAAGTTACATGATCTCCTTGCTGTATGGAAACGCTGGTAAAGTAAAGTAAAGTAAAGTAAAGGCCCTCCCGTTGATCATCGATTTGCTCAAGCGGGCCCAGTAACGTCTCCATTGGAGACTTTTGTTGTTACTGTGTCTGGCATATCGAATACTCTCGGTAGCTTGCCGGGCTCTCCGAGAGGGGCGAAGGAATCGAACTCGGGTCGGCCATGTTGGCTGCATGCAAGGCAGACGCCCTACCCGCTGTGCTATCGCTCCAGCCGGTATAAAAGGGAAGTGCTCTTTTGTTTAAGGGTAATAGTCATCATATCGCAACTTACTCTTCAGTAAGGTTAAAAAAATACACACACACACACACACACACACACACAGAATGACAGGGAACAGTAGTGATACCTTAATTAAAAAAAAAAAAGGTATGCTAGAGGGAGCTGAAGAGACAGGATAGTGGGTAAGGTGGCACAAGGCTGACTCGGGTTTAATCCTCAGCATTACATACGTTCCACCAGATGTCCCATTTCCTCCTTCCTTCCAAAAAACAAAGAGCTCCCCCCTGCTTTAGGACATATCGGGTTGTGTTCAGAAGACTACATGATGCCAGGGGCTGAACTCGAGGTTCCCACATTAAAAAACAAGCAGGCAAGCTCTTTGTGCTCTCTTAATCCCTCCTATTCCAGTTTTAAACAACTTATGAAAAACAAAGATAAATCTGCATGATGGCAATCTTACCTTTGTAACCTGTAGGTCTCCAATGTTTAATTTTAATGCCCCGATTGCGGTTTTACACAGGATTACTGCCTCATCACTACTTTTCACCTGGAGCCAGAAAAAGAAAAATTCAGAAGTGTGGGCACAGAGTAACAAAGCAAGGCTTCTGCTCATTGGACTTACGTGACCAAAAACACTGATCTCTGGAGGTATGGGCAGTGAGCACAGGCACAGACTCTAAGACTCCAATTTGTGCTTGGGAGGTAAACAAAATATCTGGCTCAAACTTCACATTTACCTTCTCACGCGTCTTTTCCAGAAAAGTAAGAGCCACATTAGGATCTGGAAAAAAGAACAAAAACAAAAGAATCGCCAACATGGTATCTTTACAGGCTGGTTTCCACTTATGACTATACCATACAAAACAAAAACTTAAGTTAGACTCTATTTTTTTTTAAATGTCCAACTAAATTCTATTTCAAGGTATTTTAATTGCCATTTGGCTCAACTCAAGAAACCTAGTGAGACTCACCCGTCATCTGTCTCACTACGTGAAGAATAATTTCTACCAGGGACAAAGGATTCACCCTGAAATAAAAATCATCAGATTCTGAGTGTCAAAAAGAGAAATTGTATTCATTTTCAAAGTAAAAAAACTGACAAAGGAGTTTTACCTATGTTCAAATTCGCTGATGAAGTTTTCATAAAGCTGTGGAACCAAAACAGAGAGAATAATTACTGGATTTCATTTAGCAAAATTAAAATGTCTAATTCTACCTCAGTGACCATAGATAGAAGGCAGAACAAACATTAAGACATTTTTATCATTTTCACAATATGCAGAGGACAATGTCCACTAAAATTTAAAGGCTAACAGAAGACTACAAATTCATTTGTGTGATAAAATGTCAAATGAGTAGATACAAACCTAAAGAAAATCTTAGGAGCCCAAAGACATATGAGGTGGAAAGTTCTAGTGTGAGTACATAATGTGTCCTGGGCAAATTACTCAGGCCCCTATGAATTTTTAACTGTAACGCAGGCATAAAGCTTGGACTCATTTGAAATCCAAAGAAAGGTATCAAATAAGATATTATGAAATAATTTCCCCCCTTTTTCTTCTTTTGGGCTGGAGCGATAGCACAGCGGGTAGGGCGTTTGCCTTGCACGCAGCCAACATGGCCGACCCGAGTTCGATTCCTCCGCCCCTCTCGGAGAGCCCGGCAAGCTACCGAGAGTATTTGATATGCCAGACACAGTAACAACAAAGTCTCCAATGGAGACGTTACTGGGCCCGCTCGAGCAAATCGACGATCAACGGGAGGGCCTTTACTTTACTTTACTTTCTTCTTTAGGTCACACTCAGTGGTGTTCAAGGCTTATTTCTGGCAGGGCTTGGCAGATTACATACAGCGCTGGAGCTCAAACCCAGCGAGGTCAACTGTGCACAAGGCAAGCGTCTTACCTACTGTAATCTCTCTCTAACTCCATCACAGAAGACCTCTAAGAGGAAGCTATCTGAATAAATGCGTGAGTGTGTTTCTGGAATTTGTGATTGTGTTTCTGGGAACCTGGGAAAGACTGGAACAGTGTATCTTTAAAATTTCTGTTGACAACACTTTTAAAAACTGCTCTATGCAAACAATGTGGTATTATGCCAGGTCCCCTTCCAGGTTTTTCAACCCCCACAGTGAAGCACAAGAGGTATTCTCTCTTCCACAGTACCAGCATTGTGGCAAGCAAACAGGATTGGGGGGTAAGGTAAGAGGCATTCTGGCAGTTATGATGGCATTCCTATGGCAATCCTCATCTTTAGCACATCCCATCCTCTAACTGATTTTGAACTTTCAGTATCTGAATAACCTTCCCAAAAGTATACCACATCCACAGTCTAAACAAGAAGATACCAAACTTTCTATATGAGAGCTTTTTTGTTGTTTTGGGAAGTACCCAGTGGCACTCAGTGCTTGGGGTACCACGTGGTGCCAGGTATTGAAACCCACTTTCGGCATACAAAGCACTAGCTCCAGCCTACCGACACAATCTTTTACAAGGGGGGCTTAATATTTATATTTTGGGTCCTATCTGGTGGTTAATTAAGGGTTACTCCTGGCTGTGTTCAGAGATGGCTTCTAGAGAGGCTTAGGGGACCGTATGAGGTGCCAGTGATAGAACCTGGGTAGGCAGGCCTCTGCAAGGCAAATGCTCTACCCGTCTCTTTATAAAGGGTTTGAGAAGACAATGTTTGAATCCCCTCCTGCCACAAATCAGCTGCCATCTGAGTCAAATTACGTAAAATATATTTTTCTGCACCACAACAGAGTATCAATACTATTTATATCGTGATGTTGTTACGAAGAATAAGGTACTCAACACATCACCTGAAGTAAAGTGATTGTACTGTTTTATTATTTCACCCATTTTTCACTTAGTTTTTGCCATGTTAGGAATCACACGAAGGAACTACATACATATGAGAAATGCATTCTACAGCTGAGTCACACGCTCAGCCCCCAGCCAATATTGAAAAATGTCCTTATGCACATTTATACCATCTGACCCAGTATGGTGAAGCATTTACCTTAATGAGGCCATCTCCTTGAGCAAAGCAGGGATCTTGCACAAAGTCTAGCACTTGAAGTGTCAGCTGATGCCACAACCTGAAAATGTTAAGTCCCGTAAGAACTGAACGGATATTCTTGGACACCTTCAGCTCCAACGGTCCTATCAAATAGACACTAACAAACCTTTATTGCGCGGTGAGAAGAAAACTTTTGTTGATACACATAGGTTTCACACCAGATTCTGTTACTTAACTGGTTATGTCATCCTGGGATGTTATGCCTAAGACTGACTCTTCTCTGCGACAAACGGGGAACATCTTTCTAGACTGCCTCGAGGAGCTACTGTGAAGTTACTGTGCAGGCGGACTGCAGACCAAGCTTTCGGAATCGCCTGTCTACACTGAAACTCCCGGCTCTTGTTCCTAAGTCTCCTGGGAAGGGGCTTACGCTGAGCTTCGCTTTCCTCATCTGAGAAAGGGACGAAAGGTTAAATGGCTTAATAGAGCAGACCACCTATACTACAACATAGAACAGAAACATAACACACCTGAAGCCACGTTAGTTTCTGAGAATGTCAGTAAAATACTTTGAAAGACCAAAGGTTAGGCAACACAAAGCCGTTATCTGCCAATTACCAAACATGTCTCTCAGAAACTGCTAGAGCGGGTCTTAGGAAGCTGCTGGCCACCACCAAAACGTGCCGAAATCCTTGCGAACACTTCCATGCTAAACGCCAGCAGCAGATACCCGACTGCCCCGAAACGGTCTGTGCGAGGAAGCCGAAAGCGAGCCGGGTGCGACCACCCTAGTGAGAAGCGCGCCGGGAAAGAGCCAACCTGGGGCGCCGGAACTGCAGCCCCTGCGCCGCCGACGGGCTCCTCGTGACGCGCGGCCGGGCCGCAGGAGGCCGCTCGAGAGGCCAGGGCGCCACAGGCCGGCGCTCGGGCCGGGTTCGGGGCTGCCGGGACGCGGGCCAGGAGAGCAGTGGGCCCCGCGGCGGCCGGCGCGCCCCGGCCCGCCCCCGGCCCCGCGTCCCGCACTTACTTCTTGGTGTAGAGCTCCTCCAGACGGTGCCACACGGCGGCCTGGCCGGGCCCGGAGCTCTGGCTCTGCTGTAAGAAACCTGGAACGTCCTTCATGACGGCGAGACCCCGGGCAGCGACAGCAACACAAGCCGCGCCGCGAGGAGCAGGGCCGGAAATGCTCACTCACTTCCGGCGCGGCGCCGCGCGGGGTAGGCCGGGAGCGCCGCCGTGACCCCGCGCCCCTGGTCGCCCGGGCAACCGCCCGGCCGCGGCGCGCCTCAGTGACTCTCGGTACCTCAGGAAATGTGACCCTGACTGGGCCCCGCGTCTGGGAGGTGCCAGTCCTAGGCCCATCCCGGCGACAGGGTGGACAGGGCGGGGCGGGGCGGGGGCGAGGGCGGGGCGAGCGCGGGGCGGGACGAGCGCGGGAGGGGACGAGCGCGGGGCGGGAGGAGCACGGGGCGGGGCGAGCGCGGGGGCGGGACCCGCGGGGCGGAGCGTGGGGAGGCGAGCGCGCGGGGCGGAGCGCCGGCACGTGACCCCGAGGACAAGGTCGCGTCCGGCTGTGGTGGACCATGGCGCTGTGGGCTCGGCCTCCGGTTCCAGTGCTCAGGCTCTGGGGCCTTGGAAGTGAGCGGGCGTGGGCCCGTGGGCCTCGGTTGGTTCTGGTGCCCTCCGGGGGTCGGGGGCTAGGCCGGGGAGGGTGAGTCGCCAGCCGGCCAGTGCCCAGGGTGGCCTGGCGTGCCCTGACCTGGACGCCCACCCGCACTCCGCGTCCTCTGGGTTCCCGGGCGCGCCCGCCTCTCCTCAGGGCCGCCTTCCCCGCGACCGGCATCTCGCCCATCTGTGAGGAGTTCCAGAACTGTCTTCATTCACATGACGTCAGGGGTGATGAGAGAGGGTTAGGAATGAGAAGGAGCTGCCTTTACGCCGGAGCATTTCCGGAGCTGGGCCTCAGCTGCCGTGCTCGGGCGCCCAGGGCTCTGTGTTCAGGAGTCACACCAGGCTGGGCTCTGGGGGCCGCATGTGGCGCTGGGGATCCAGTCTGGGTCAGCCTCCTGCAAGGGCAAGTGTCCGGCTACCCTACCCAGGCCTGATTTCGGCCCTCCCCACCTCTCCTGCCCCTCTGCCTCTTCTCCCCTTCTCTCAGCTTGCCCTTCCCTCCCCCCTCCCCCTTCCCCCTCCCTCCCTCCCTCCCTTCCTTCCTTCCTTCCCATCCTTCCTTCTCTTCTTCCCTTTCTCCTTCCCTCTAGTGGTGCTCAGGATCTACTCCTAGTAGGGTGCTGGTTTCTGGAAGTGTCCTGGGGACCACGAGGTGCCTGGAATCAAATCTGGGCTTTTTGAGTGCAAAGCATGTTCTCCATGCCTTTTGATCCAGGCTCTCTTTTGTCTGTCTTAATTTGATTTTAGAAATCATGGACATGGTCCTCCCATTGTTCATCGATTTGCTCGAGCTGGCCCAGTAACATCTCCAATCTCCATCGTGAGACTTCTTGTTACTGTGTTTGGCATGTTGAATATGTCATGGGTAGCTTGCCAGGGTTTGCCATGCAGTCGAGATACTCTTGGTAGCTTGCCTGGCTCTTGGAGAGGTGCGGAGGAATCGAACTCGGGTGGGCCATGTTGGCTGCTCACAAGGCAAGCGCCCTACCGCTGTGCTATCACTCCAGCCCGATTTTAGGAGTAGCCCAGGAAATGGGTGAGAACCTTTGGTGGGATATACGTTCTCAATACTGTATGAAGTGGAGCACTTAATAATTGCAGTTGGTCTTCCTGAGCATCTGACCAGTTTTTATTTAAAAAAAAAAAAGAAAGAAAGAAAGAAACCTTCAGGGCTAGAGAGATAGTAAAGAGAAGGATGAAAAAAACCCCCTCAGTTTTATTGGCTTGGTCTCAGAAGAGCTACATTGACAAGTCATTTTATGTAAGTTTTGAGGCAGTAGAAGTTTTAAGAATCGGAAGAGAGCTCAGTTGTTTTGTCTGCTAAAAGTATTTCTTGTGCCTTCTCTTGGGAGATATACAGTTGTAAATCCTTTCAGATAGATTAATTGTCATCTCTTCTCCTTTTTGACCGTGGCTGGTGAAGCTCAGGCTTTTGTTGAGAAAAACATTTTGTTTTTTGTTTTTTTAATTGTTTTTTTTTTTTGGCTACAGCTGGTGATGCTCAGGGGTTGCTCCTGGCTTTGCACTTAGGAATTGTTCCTGGTGGTACTCTGGGGACCATATGGGATGCCAGGGATAGAACCTGGATTGGCCACATGCAACGCAGATGCCCTACTTACTGTGTTCTCCCTGGAGACAAACTGTGGTACTGACTTGAGTGAAAGCCACCTGTGCAGGGCCACCAGTATCAGTTGCAGTTTATACCAATCTTATCTTCATTCTCTCGTGAATACACAAGAAGGACATAGAGAAAAAGAATGGAAACAACCAGTCTTGTGGGAGATGTAGTGAAAAAAGAATCTTCTTTCATTGTGTCTGGAATGTTAGTCAAGCCTCTATGGAAAACAGTCTGAAGATTTCTCTAAAAAATAATAATAAATCTTTTATGTATAAAATAGTATATTTTTATGTATAAAATAATAGTAAATCTCTCATTTTCATCCTACTTGCAATGAGCTGCAATGGAAGGGAAAGAGTGACCAGCACCACAAAGAAATGGGGAATTGGTATTGTCACCTTAAAGGTGGGCAAAGTGGCTTCATAAGTGGCATTTGGTCCTGGCTATCGATATCGTTTGATCCTTGACTGCTGGTTATTTTGACATGTTGAGTTGGAGGAAAGTCTTCAAAATCAGAGGGAAGGCTAGAGAGATAGCATAATGGGCTGGAGTGCATTCTAGCAGGATGCCTGGGTTTGACCCCTGAGTATTACCAAATTTGACCCTTTCCCTGTAAAAAAGCAGAGGGTAGTGGGTTTAGAGCATATATAAGAACAAGGAAGTTCTTTTGCGTGGCTAAAGTCCTTTTGTGTATGTGAGTTTGAAGGCATCGTGTAGGGGTTAAAACTGTGTCAGGTGGGATTTGTGCTAAAATGGTAGGATTCTGTGGGAAATGAAAAAGAATGAAGCAGAAAACTTCAGCAGCAGTGTGTAAAGTAGGTTGGTCAGTGCAGAGATTTTGGGGTTGGTTTTTTTTTTCTTTTGTGAAACACCATGAGGCACAGTTGTAGATTTACAATTTTTTGTGCTTGGGTTTCGATTATACAATGATCAGATACCCATCCCTCCACCAGTGCCCATTTTCCACCACCATGGATAATATCCCCCCACCCCCATCCCCCCATCCCCCCCTGTCTCTGTGGCAGGGCAATCCCCTGTGTTCTCTCTCTCCTTTTGGGTGTTGTGGTCTGCAAAAGAGGCTTTGAGTGGCAAACATGTTCAGTCCATAGTCTACTTTCGACATGCATCTCCCCTCCTGGGAGGATCCTCCAAACACCCTTTATTTGGTGCTCCCTTCTCTATCTGAACTGCCCTTTCCTCTAGGATACCCGGCTGGCCTCTAAGTTATGGAGTAATCCTCCTGGTGCTGATCTCAGCTATTCTTGGGTATTAATCTCATACTTTGTTACTTTATATCCCCCAGATGAATGCAATTTTTCTATGTCTATCCCTCTCTTTCTGACTCATTTTGCTTAGCATGATACTTTCCATATTGTACCACTTGTATGTAGATTTCATGACTTCATCTTTTCTAACAGCTACATAGTACTCCATTGTGTAGATGTACCAAAGTTTCTTTAACCAGTCATCTGTTCTTGGGCATTCAGGTTTCTTCCAGTTTCTGGCTATTGTAAAGAGTGCTGCAATGAACAAACAAGTGCAGATGTCACTTCGATTATACATTTTTGCCTCTCTGGGATATATTCCCAGGAGTGGTTTTTTAAGGAGCGGAATCCATAAGGTACATTTGAAGACAAAGTTGGCAAAACCCTCCATGATATTGAAGCTAATGGTATCTTCAAAGATGTCACGCCACTGGCCAAGCAAGTGAAAACAGAGATAGATAAATGGGACTATCTTAAACTAAGAAGCTTCTGCACCTCAAAAAAACAGTGGCCAAAATACAAAGACAGTCTACAGAATGGGAAAGGATATTTGCCAAATACACATCCGACAAGGGGTTGGTATCAAGGATATACAAAGTACTGGTTGATTTCCACAAGAAGAAAACATCCAACCCCATCATAAAATGGGGCGGGGACTGGAGAGATAGCACAGCGGGTAGGGCGTTTGCCTTGCACGTGGCCCACCCGGGTTCGATTCCCAGCATCCCATATGGTCCCCTGAGCACCACCAGGAGTAACCCCTGTGCATCGCCAGGTGTGACCCAAAAAGCAAAAAAAAAAAAAAGCGACAAAATGAACAGAAACTTTCCCAAAGAAGAAGTCCGATTGGCTAAAAGGCACATGAGAAAATACTCTACATCATTAATCACCAGGGACATGCAGATCAAAACAACAATGAGATATCATTTCATACCACAGAGACTCGCCCACATCCAAAAGAACAAAAGCAACCTGTGCTGGCATGGATGTGGCGAGGAAAGGACCCTCCTTCACTTCTGGTGGAAATTCCGACTGGTTCAGCCCTCTTGGAAAACAGTATGGACGATTCTCAAAAAATTAGAAATTGAGCTCCCATTTGACCCAGCAATACCACTCCTCCTGGGAATATATCTCAGAGAGGCAAAAAAGTATAGTCGAAGTGACAGCTGCACTTGTTTGTTCATTGCAGCACTATTTACAATAGCCAGAATCTGGAAAAAACCTGAGTGCCCAAGAACAGATGACTGGTTAAAGAAACTTTGGTACATGTACACAATGGAGTACTATGTAGCTGTTAGAAAAGATGAAGTCATGAAATTTACATACAAGTGGTACTATGTGGAAAGTATCATGCTAAGCGAAATGAGTCAGAAAGAGAGGGATAGACATAGAAAGATTGCATTCATCTGGGGAACATAAAGTAACAAAATAGGAGACTAACACTCAAGAGTCGCCGAGATTAGTACTAGGAGGTTTGCTCCATGGCTTGGAGGCCAGCCACACATGCTAGGGGGAAAGGGAGCTCAGATAGAGAAGGGGGCACCAAATAAAGGGTGTTGGGAGGGTCCTCCCAGAATGGGAGAAGCATGCTGAAAGTAGACTATAGACCTAACGTGATTGCCACTCAATGCCGCTTTTGCAGACCACAACACCTAAAAGGAGAGAGAGAACAAAAGGGAATGCCCTGCCACAGAGGCAGAGTGGGATGGGGGGAATGGGAGTTGGGAGGGTTACTGGGACCCGTGGTGGTGGAAAATGGGCACTGGTGGAGGGATGGGTATTTGATCATTGTGTAATTGAAATCCAAGCACAAAAATTTGTAATTCTACAACTGTACCTTATGGTGTTTCACTAATAAAAATTAAAAATAAATAATTTTTTTTTAAAAAAAGGTGGTTGTTTGCGGGTGATTCTCAACAATAGGGTGGTGGAAGGGTAGTCACTGTTCATTTTGGCTAGCATGAGCTTGATTGTGGTCATTACTTACCCCTCTCCTCTCTCAGTGTTTCAGGAGGAAGAAAGTCCATTTGTCTTTCTGCTAGTGCTTCAAGCTTCTTTGGAAGTGGAGGTGACAATAAGAAGGAGAAGCTTTTCCTGGAGGATATAGCTAAGCTCATTCAAACCAGAGCTTGCCAGAAGGTGGTGGTCATGGCAGGGGCCGGGATCAGCACAGCAAGTGGCATACCAGACTTCAGGTACCCTGAGTCCCCATGCCTCTAGCCCCCTGACCCTCTACTGATCTGAGGACTCAGAGCTTCTTATTTCTGTTTCGTAGGTCTCCAGAGATTGGTCTTTACAGCAGGCTCCAGAAGTATGACATCCCATACCCCGAGGCCATTTTTGAACTTAGTTTCTTCTTTCACAATCCCAAGCCCTTCTACACTTTGGCCAAGGAGCTGTATCCTGGGAACTATAGGCCTAATGTTACTCACTACTTTCTCCGACTGCTCCATGACAAGGGATTACTTCTGCGGCTGTACACACAGAACATCGATGGACTTGAGAGAGGTGAGCTGCCTGCGTTCAGTGGGGAAGGCTTAGAGGTTTGCTGGGTGGTACTGAGGCCCAATACTTTCACTCATCCTTTGTTTCCAGATAAACTGCCCTCTTTGCGTTTAAGGATCACCGAGACCTCATATTTTGAGTCTTTTTCCCAGAGTATCTTTGAGACTGTGAGACTGCAATTTTTGGATAGAATTAAGTTTGACATCTGGTGTTTCTAGTTTTACTGATCTTAAATGATGGGTTTTGTATTCTTTTGTTTGTTTGTTTGTTTTTTGAGACTCTGGTGCTCAGGGCTTACTCCTGACTCTGGGCTCACGGTTCATTCTTGGCAGGGCTTGAGGGACCATGTGGAGTTCTCGGGATTGAAACCCAGTCATCCATGTACAAAACTTACCCTCTAGCTTTTTTTTTTTTTCTTTTGGCATGGTACCTAATAGTGCTTAAGAGTTACATCTGGTTCTGGTTCTGTGCTTAGGAATCATGCCTGGTTGTGCTGGGTACTGAGGGTCTTAATGTGGTGCTAGGAATTTGAACCAGGTTTCTGGCCAGAGCTACTTGTAGGCAAGTGCCTTAACATTTGTACTATCTCTTTGATGATAAAGAGACCACAACATGGTCTCTTTAAAAATGTTATTTTATTATGGATTATTTTTTAGCACAGAAAAATAAAGGGAAGGATATAATGAACTTTAAATCCTCTTCAACAGAAAGTCCGTTTTATCTTTCCCCTCCACCCATCCTCTCTTTAACTCAGGGATTATTTTGGAAAAAAATGCATCACAACATAAATTTAATCATTAATTAATAAATAATGCTTGGATACATCTGTGGGTATCTCTTGAAGGCAGACTTTTAAAACATTATTGTGGTATTATCATACAAAGTAATCGCTAATAATTCTATAATAGTAGACTTCATGTGTGATGATTTGTTGACAGTGTTTAATATGTTCAGAAATGGTGTCTGCAAGCAGTGATTCTCAGATCACATTAACTCCTGGCTTAAAGAAGAAGCATGTGCTTGAGTCTCTTTCTAACATACAGGGATGCTGACAAGTGCTGACAAGTCAACTTTTAGCAAGTCAGTGACTACTCAGGTAGGCAGCAGAGTGAAAAAAGCCAGAACAGGCTGAATCGATAGTACGGCAACTTAAGACATATTCCTTGCCCATGTTCAACCCCTGGCATCTCATATGGTCTTTCATGCCCCACAAGGAGTGATTCCTGAGCAGAGTTGGCAGTAAGCCCTGAGCACAGCCAGATGTGACCCCAAAACAAGAAAACAACTGGCAGTGAGTTTTAGCATATGAAACTCAGAACGAAAACAAGGGTGTTGGAAAGTCCTTTTAGTTGTGACCAGGTTGGTCCCCCCACCCCTACCCAGAAATCTTTCAGGTGTTACATTGGGAAAAAATCACTTTCATAGTAGTTAACTTCAACTTTTTTTATTTTTTTATTTTTTTTTGCTTTTTGGGTCACACCCGGCGATGCACAGGGATTCCTCCTGGCTCTGCACTCAGGAATTACTCCTGGCAGTGCTCAGGGGACCATATGGGATGCTGGGAATCAAACCTGGGTCGGCGTGCAAGGCAAACGCCCTACCCACTGTGCTATCTCTCCAGCCCCCCACTTTTAACTTTTAATAACACTTTTATTCTGTTATTATTATTATCTGTTTTATTCTGTTATTATCAGAGATTTACATTGTATCTGTTATTCTATCATTTTTTTGATAGTTACCGAGAGTATTGCACCTGCAGGACAGAGCCTGGCAAGCTCTCTGTGGCTTATTCGATGTTCCAAAAACAGTAACAAGTCTCAAATTACTGGCGCCTGCTTGAGCAAATCGATGAACAATGTGAGGACAGTGCAGTGCTACAATGTATTTATACTATTTCCTCAGTTTTGTTTGGTGCTTGGAGAGTAGAAAATATTTTTGAAGTTGTAAATATAATTTATCTCCCTCCCTCCCTCCCTTCCTCCCTCCCTCCTTTCCTCCTTCCCTCCTTCCCTCCTTCCTTTCTTCCTTTCTTTCTTTCTTTTTCTTTCTGTTTTTGTGCTATAACTGGCAGTGCTCAGGGATGACTCAGGGATGACTCCTGGCTTTGCACTCAGGAATTACTCTTGTTGGGCTTGAGGGAACCTATGGGTTCTTCATGGGCTTGATGGGCTTGAGGGAACCTATGGGTTGCTGTGAATTGAACCCAAGTATGTCAAGTTAGCAAGACAAGTATATTACACATTGTACTATCTTGCCTGCCCTGTAACCATAATTTCACCTGATTTTTTATCTAGTGTTTTCCATGCTGTGTTTTGTCAGGCTTTAGTTGATATGCTCCAATATGAAGCCTTCCTCTCTGGGCTCATTTTGGTCAGTGAGACATCATCTGTAAATGATGGAGGCAGGGATGTCAGGTTTCCTCTGGAGGCTGTGGCTCCTCCAAAGACAGTAAATCCCAAAGGTTCTACTTGGGTGCTTGTGTGTCCACCTTGGGAATGGTAACACTTCGTTTTGGTTTACATTTCAGTGGCTGGCATCCCTGCCTCAAAGCTGGTTGAAGCTCATGGAACCTTTGCCTCTGCCACCTGCACTGTCTGCCAAAGAAACTTCCCAGGGCAAGACTTTTGGGTGAGTCAGCATCCTCTCAGTTCTGTCTCTTCTGCATTTCACAGTGGGAGTGATCTGAGAAGGTGATTTTTGTAAACATCAGGTTGGAAGGATGATAGACACTGCACTGCCCTCCCATTGTTCATCGATTTGCTCGAGCGGGCACCAGTAACGTCTTCTCCATTGTGAGACTTGTTGTTACTGTTATATAATATATGTAAAAGTGTGAAAATGGTTTTTATTTTTATTTAAATCGGAAAACTAACACATACTTGTAAAAAATAAGAGGCAGTATTGAAATATGTAGGGAAAAAAATGATTCACCTATCATTTACTTCCCATGGCCTCCTTTTGTAATGCCTTGCTGTCAGGCACCTATTATAGAGTTACTGTTGATTTTTCAGTGACAGGACCATTAGTTTAATATTTTACAACTTGCTCTGTTTTTTTTGGGGGGGGCCACACCCCCCGATGCTCAGGGGTCACTCCTGGCTTTGCACTCAGAAATTATTCCTGGCAGTGCTCGGGGAACCATATAGGATGCTGGGAATCAAACCCAGGTCCGCTGTGTGCAAGGCAAATGCCCTACTCTCTGTGCTATAGCTCCAGCCTCAGTATTTTACAACTTGCTCTGTAACTAAGCAAAAATATTTTTGGAGATCTTGTGTATAGCTCTGGGGCCAGAGAGGTAACTTAAATGGGCTTGAATGTAGGCTCTCTATGTGGGGGAATCTGGGTTTGATTCTCTGGCAGTGCTGATCTGGGGTATCTCCTGAGCACTGCCAGATGTGTACCAAACAGAATAAAAACTTTCTGTATTCTTCTAGTAGGTATAGAGTATTACATTTATTCTTTTGTGGCATATTTTTTGATATTTGTAATTTTTACAACTAAAAATTATATAGCAGTGATACCTATGTTTCCCCCTATGTTTTTCTATAAATATTTCTGTAGTTTTTCTATAAATATTTCTGTAGAAAGCAAGGCCTGGAAGAAGACCTGAGGAAAAACTGTGTAGTAAAGAAGGCTCTCTGTTGGCAGGAGTTTATAGGACTCACCGCAAAGACATATATCGAAAGTCATCCTGGAATTCAGAATTTGCTGTTAGCCAATGAAGGTGGTTGGAGCGATGGCACAGTGGGTAGGACGTTTGCCTTGCATGCGGCCAATCTGGTTGACCTGGCCGACTCCAGTTCGATTCCTCCGCCCCTCTTGGAGAGCCTGGCAAGCTACCGGGAGTATCTCGCCTGCATGGCAAAGCCTGGCAAGCTACCTGTGATGTATTTGATGTGCCAAACACAGTAACAAGTGTCACAATGGAGATGTTACTGGGCCCGCTCAAGCAAATCGATGAACAGCGGGAGGACAGTGACAGTGATTTCTGTAGTTTGAATAAGTTTTTTAAAAATATTTTTTGTTTTGTTTTGGAGCCACATCCAGTGATACTTGGGACTACTCCTGGTTCTACTTGCTCGTGGGGGTGGCAGGTATTCCAAATGGTGCTGGGGGACCATCTGGTGCTAGGTAGTAAACTTGGGCCCTCACATACAAAGCATGTAGTCAGCCTGTTGAGGTATCTCTCTGGCCCTAGTTTGTATTTCTTAAAATGGCATAGAATCTCAAAGATGAAACTGTGACTTATATTTTTTATTAAGGTGGAATTCATATAACATGAAATGAACCATTTTAAAGTGCTCATTGGTATTTAGGGTGTCAAAGTGATTTGCAGCCACTACCTCAGGTTTTTTTTTTGTTGTTGTTTTGGGGCCATACCTGACCATGCTCAGGGCTTCTTCTGGATCTGCATTTAGGGATCATTCCTGATAGGGCTTTGGGGACCATATGGAGTGCCTGCCAGAGAGCAAACTTGGGTCAGACTTGTGCCAGGCAAATACCCTATCCACTTATCTCTCTAGCCTCTTGCAAAACATTTTTATCACTCTAAGAAAATGCTATATAATGGAATAGTCAATTCCATTCCCCCCTGCCCCTCCTATTCCAGTTCATGGCAGCTACCAATCTGCTTTTTGACTTTTCCAGATATTTTATGTAAATAAGATTTTAGAATATGTAAACCTTATTGTCTGACTTCATAGGTGCATTATCTGTTGAACTATGTCTCTGAAACCACCAGTGTGTATGTGTGTGTGTGTATACAGTTTTTTTTTGCACAGTGGTTTACAATACTGTTACTGATGAGGTTTCATATTTCATATTTCACTTTACCACCTTTCAGCTCCAGTTCTTCCTGATGGTTGAATACTTCCCTCCACCATAAATATTGCCTCCCTCCCTGTTCTATCCATAGCTTCCTCAAGTGGCATGTTTCCTACTGAATACCAGTTTTAATGTTATTTGTTTCCATTGTCTTTGGGTATTCATTATTTCAAAATTATGTTTCTTTATATTCCTCATATGAGAGAGCTCATTCTGTGTTGTGTCTCTTCTGTGACTAACTTCACTCAGCAATACTTTCCAGGTGTCTCCATGTAGAAACAAATTTCATGAGTTTATCTTTTCTTATGGCCAGGTAATATACCATTGAGTATATGTAACATTGTAGCACTATCCTTCCATTGTTCATGGATTTGCTCCAGCTATGTTTCCATTGTGAGACTTGTTGTTACTGTGTTTGGCATATCAAATATGTCAGGTGTAGCTTGCCAGGCTTTGCCATGAGGGTGAAATATTTTCAGTAGCTTGCCAGGCTCTCTGAGAGGGGCGGAGGAATCAAAGCCGGCTTGACCAGGCTGGCAGCTTGCAAGGCAAACACCCTACTGCTGTGCTATCGCTCCAGCCTGGAGTATGCATGTACCATAGTTAATTTATTCAGTCATCTATTCTTGGACACTAGAATTGTTTCCAGATTTTGGTTATTGGTGGATAGTGCTGCAGTGAACATAGGGGTGAAAATTCTTTTCTCCATTTTGTTTTTGGCCCCTTAGGGTGTATTCCAAGAAGTGGAATTGCTGGATCAAATGGAAGCTTAAGTCCTAAATTTCTTTTTAGGAATGTACATATTGTTTCCCAGAATGAAGGGACCAGTCGGCATTCCCACCAACGATGAATGTGTGCCCTTTCTCTCTTCATCCACACCAGCATTGGTTGTTCTCTTTGAGGTGTACCAGTCTCTGTGGTGTGAGATGATATCTTATTATTTTGATTTGCATCTTCCTGATGATTAGTGATGCAGAGCATTTTTTCATGTTCCTTTGGGCTCTTTGTATTTCTTCTTTGAGGAAGTTTCTGTTCATCTCTTCTCACCATTTTTTTCCCTTGTAATGTTCTACAGGGTGCCTTATATATCTTTGATATTTACCCCTGAGTAAAGTATTCTTGGTGAAGCCTCCATTTCATTAAGTTTTTAACTATATCCTGCCCTTATCCTTGGGCCCGAGGGTTTCATTGCATAAGTTTACTGTAAATCTAATAAACCTTTGCTAGCTGAGTGCTGGGTAAATAATTTCTCCCATTCCTTGGGCTCTCTTTGCATCCTGGTCCTCATTTCCTTTGAGGTGCAAAAACTTCTTAATTTAATGTAGTCCTGTTTCAGACATAGATTGAGTGGACTCATTTGTGGGATAGCACTGTATAGCACTGTCCTCCTGTTATTCATCTATTTGCTCGAGCAGGCACCAGTAATGTCTCCATTGTGAGACTTGTTATGGTTATTGGCATATCGAATACGCTGTGGGGAGCTTGCCAGACTCTGCCGTGCTGGCAGGATACTCTCGGTAGCTTGCTGGGCTCTCCGAGAGGGGCGGAGGAATCGAACCTGGGTCAGCTGTGGGCAAGGCAAACGCCCTAACTTGCTGTGCTATTGCTCCAGCCCATTTGTGGGATATTAAAAACAAAGTATGAGGGGTTGGAATGATAGCACAGCGGGTAGGGTGTTTGCTTTGCACACAGACAACCCGGGTTCGATTCTCAGCATCCTATATGGTCCCCTGAGCACCGTCAGGAGTAATTTCTGAGTGCAGAACCAGGAGTAATCCCTGAGCATTGCCGGGTGTGACCCAAAAAGCAAACAAACAAACAAACAAAAAATACGAGACTAATACCCAAGGACAGTAGAACCAAGGGCCAGGAGGACTGGTCCATTGTTGGAAGCTTGTCTCAAGTGGTGATGGTGGAGGGGGGAGGGGTCGGAGAGGGCAGTTAGGATAGAGAAGGGGGACCACTATGACAAAGGTTGTTGGAAATGATCACTCTGGACAAGAACTGAGTGCTGAAAGTAGGTGAAAGGACAAACATGATAACCTTTCAGTACCTTTGCAAATCATAATGCCCAAAAGGAAAGAGAGAGAGTGAGTGAGTGAGTGAGTGAGTGAGTGAGTGAGAGAGAAAGAAGAAAAGTGCCTACCATAGAGGCAGGCTGGGGGAAGGAGGCAGGAGGAAAAATGGGGACATTGGTGGTGGGAAATGTACACTGGTAAAGTGACAAGTGATGGAGCATTGTATGACTAAAACCCAATCATCAACAACTTTGTAACTGTGTAACTCAAGGTGATTCAATCTAAAAAAAAAAAAAATTGTCCCATTTATTTTTGTTTCCACTTGCTTGGTCAGTGGTGTTTCATCCTTGAAAATGCCTTCAGTTTCAATGTCATGAGAGTTCTGCGTATATTTTCCTTTATGTACCTAATGGATTCAGGTCTGATATCAAGGTCTTTAATCTATTTTGATTTGGCTTTTGTACATGGTATTTGAGGTCTGAGTTTACTTTTAAGTATATAGGTGACCAGTACTTTTGGTATCAGGGTGATGTTTGCTTCATATAAACTGGAAGAGCCTGAAAAGTATTGGCAGAAGGTTAAACGTTTATCAGAACTCCCTAGTAAATCCATCTGGGCCTAGGCTTTTGTTTTTGGGAAGACTTTTGATTATTGTTTCAATTTCTTTGATACAGATAGGTCTGTTCAGGTATTCCAGATCATCTTGGTTCAGCCTTGGGAGGTTATAGGAATCCAGGAATTTATCAGTTTTTTTCAGTTTTTCTCATTTTATGGCATAATTATTTT